AGACCAAGGGTGGGTCCGTGTCCCAGGAGAGGAGCACTTGTGAAGTTAAGAAACGGCCTCAATCAAAAGGCGGTAGGCTTGGAGACAGAAGTGGAGGAGAGAAGCCCACATGGGTCCGCAGGAGTCTGAGCCCTTCCGAAGGCTGCCTTCCTCTGGGCAGAGCTTCTGCCCGTTATGCCCCTGTAATTATCATTTTTAAGATCACCTCTGTGGCATTACCTCCTCCACAGACAGTTCATGGATCCTTTTGGCCCACTCCTCTCCAAAAATCTTACAGACTTTACACCTGATTCATACAACCCCGTTCTCTCTGTGTACATACGTATGGGCATGACAGAACCCTTAGGACAACCTCTGGAGCCGTTTCTCAGGGGCTATCTGCTTCATTCTTTTTGAAAGTGTTTCTCATTGGGGGCATTTGGAACTCTCTGAGTAGCCAAGCTGGATGTTGAGTGATCCGAGGGTCTGCCTGTCCCAATCTCCCCGTACTGGAGTGTGTGTTACCATGCCTGGCTGTTTTCTTAGGTGGGTTGAAATCAATCTCAGGCACTGAGATCAGTCTGGCTGATCTTTACATATTCTTCAGCTGGTGGACTCCTTCCACCACCAGCAGGTTTGCAGATTGCTAATGAGACACTGGATACTCAGTAGCTGTTTAAGAAATGCTGGTTGAATAAAAGTTAAAAATATCTCTCTGGGTCCCCTGAGGAACAAGTCTGACTGCATAGGGGTTGATGTCAAAAGTATCCCCTCTCCAGGAAAAAGACATCGGGACGGGAATGGCCCTCATGCCTCACTGGACAACGACAGGGGGACCGGAGCCACTACAAGGTCCTCATCAATTACTGGAGGTCAGGCCTCTATCCCCGCCTTCGCAAGATTAGATTCACCACATGTATGCTAACACCAAGTCTTGGGTCTCTGTGAATAAACACTGAAACAGATGGCTATAAGCTACTGTAAACAGGCAGTTTTTGTGACAATTTACCAGCCTGAGTAGTCATAGGCCTTGTAAATAGGTAGCCTTGGCAGATAATACCAACTTAGATAAGGACAAGTGAATCATAGGCAGAGCCATAGCGACCTGTCCCCTGAACCCTCACCCAGCTGATACCTGGTTCTGAAAGATATCTGTATTCCCCTGAACACCCACGCTCCAGTGTCATCCCCTTCCCCACGTCCTGCCTTTTTGTGTTTATAACCCCTGTGTGAATGAGTATAAATTACAATTTGAAAAAAAAATGATATATTAAAAAAAAAAGAAATGCTGGTTGAACAGCTTTCTGACTTCTGTCCTCTTTGGGTAAAACTTGTAAAATATTCGTTTAAAGGAAGATGATCTTCAATGAAATCTCCTCAAGGTCCTAAAATCAACTTACTTTGTACTGTACCAAATCAGCAACTATTCTCAGCTTCATGCTACAGTCTGGGCAGGAAAGGGTGCAGGGCTAGGCAGCCCAGCTGTGGATGTGTAGGAAATGCTGGAGAAGAGGACTGAATTCTGACACTTTCTATAGCCAGGCAACTCTGCAAAGTTTACCCTGAGTATAGGAATCTTTTAGTGCTTAAGTGGAAAAAAATCCCTGTCCTGTAAATCTGCATGGAATTTCTGCTTCTGGCCAGGGGCAGCGGTTACTCTCTGTGGCTCTTGGAACCTTGGGATACACTTGTCCAAATGGGCATCAAATAAAGCAAGAAAACTCTTAGCTTCATATTTTAAAATGAGTTTTGCTTCCCAGACTAGGCAGGCTGGGACTGGCACAGGGATGACTAACCCTTTGCTTAGGCCCCAGGGATCATTTCTAATCTAAAAACCACATCCTCCGGACAAACACCAGCCTGAGACTTCAAGTCACCTCTGGATGACCACGCCTTCCACCTTCCACAGAACCTCTGCTTTGCCCCAGGAAGTTTCAGTGTTTAATTAGAGTTTCTGCTCAGGGCCTTATGGGGGGTACAACTCTCTGGGTTTGAACTGGGAGGGTTTTTTTCCATCTTGTTTGTCCCCTTCTAACCACTGAAGTATGGCTGAGTGACAGTATGTATGTCATGGTCGTGTCTTTTTGTCAGTGTTCCTTTGTTACTACTGGACCCAGGATAGGGGACCCAATTCTCTAGAGAGAATCAGTTAGTTCAAACTGTATGTGGGACTTAGGTTAACACTGAATTGAAGATCCTACTGCCCAAGCCTCCAAAGGACTGGGCTTACTGGCATGTACCACACCGTCACACCCAGCTCCCTCAAAAGTTTTGTTTAAGCTTCTATTCATAAAACATGTATTGAGTGCTGATTAGCTGTCAGACCTTTTGCATGGTGCCGAGAGCATCTGTGCAAATTAGCTATCAGGCCTTTTGCATGGTGCCAAAAGCATCTGTGCAACACTCACGATAGTGTCAGCAAAGCAAACTCTCAGTGTCGGAAACAGAAGCACACAAGAGATAAATAACTCAGACATGGCTACACAAACAGTTACCAGCCAAGTGATGTACTAATTTCTCCTCACCCCTAGGTCTACTCCTCCTCAGATTTCTTCCTGTCAGCCTGTGATCATGCCATCCTTTTAGATACAAGATCTTGGGGATGTCTCAAATTTCATATCCAATGTTTCAGGAAACTCCTCAGCCTCTGGTTCAACTCAGAACCTTCTTCAACAGTCAAGCTGCTGCTATCATTTGCCATCTGCCCACAGAGGGAGCTTTCAGATGCAGGTCAGATCTTGGACCTCCCCTCCTCCAAATCCCACGTGCTCACATCCTTCATGCATGGCCACCCACTGACTGTCGCTTCCTCATCTAGCCCACCACTACCCTTCTCACTTCACCTCGGATGCCTCAGGGTCTTAACATTAGGGATTTTGGTTTGGAAACTTCTACCCTCCTCATCCCTCCCTCACAGTTGCCTTCCTCACTATCCAGGGATCTACTCAAATGCCGCATGTTTACACTGGAGCCTACTCACGGAGGCAGTACCAAACCCTCTTACTTAGTGTTTCCCTATCACATATATTATTTTTAATATAGTACAGAATCATTTCTTATGTTTACTGTTCACTGTGTAGCCCCCACCCTCTGTCTACTGGTTCATCTTAAGTGCTCAGGAAGGAACATCTTGTGATCAATGACTTTGTTGAGTAGGTAAATGAACGGACTTGTATCTCAAATATTAGGGTGGCAATAATTTTCTTATAGACCAGTAGAATAATATAAAGGAATATATTGGGAGGTGACTTTAATCAAGAGTCTGTTGGACAGGAGACTTGTTGTCATAATCAGACAGGTAATTTGAGGAGCAAATGGAGGTTGGCATGAGACACAGTGGCCCTTTCCTGGGAATTACTTAAACTTTACAGCGCACCGGTAAGGCCACACTTTCTTCTTCAGAGACTCAAATTTAAGTTTGTAGCCTTGTATTTTCATGCCTCAAGCTTGGTCCAAAGATGGTTCACTTTCCAACCTCCCTTGCCCTTGTGGACTCAAGAGCAGTAACTGTTTGTCTGCGGTGTGGTCAGACAGACAGGCCCACACTGCTGGAGCACTATGAGATTGGAAGGCCTCTGGACCCCAGGTCTTAGGTTTGGTGAATGTTTACCATTTCCTGTAGGTTGACTGGTTTTAAAAGAGTCAGCTCCCAAAAGAATTCAGTAGAGGCAGTAGAGGGACACTTGAAGGCATTTTGCTGCTCCTGCGTAGCTGTCAAATTTGGTAGTGTAATGCTCAGGTAGCCAGAAAGGATGGTTGATGTTGTCTGAGCAAAGATCATTTCTAAGTAGCGACACTCCTTTATGGCAACCTTAGTTGTTTTGGTCAAGTGAACCTCTTCCATAGTCTATTCCAGTTATACTGGCTTGTTACCCACACAGGATGGAGAATGTTTTTAAGGAGGTATTAGGTAAGAGAGTCATGTCCCCCATGAAACTCAGCTTCCTGTGCATTACAAGGTAAAACATTTTTGCTTTGTTTGGCTTTAGGGCACAACTTCTATCTCTTATCTATCCATGACAATACTAAGGACATGATACCCAATTACTAAAGAGTACTATCCACATGCTTTTCAATGGCTAACCAAGAAGGACCTTTGTAAATACGCTCACAGATCACCCCCATTGCAAGGAAGAGCTAGTGGAGAAAGAGCACATAGTTAACAAAAGGAAGTAGCCAAATAAAGTGGTGCTACAAACAACCCCATTAGGGGATAGATTCTTTAAATGAGTGAGCTGAACCCCAGCTGCCGAGTTAGGCTGAACTCTGAGACAGAGACCCTGGTCAGAAGGGACTTCATATGCCTCGGTGTTCCTAGTCAAGTCCTCCCTTCCCTGCATCACCTCCTCAGAAGGCCTTGGGATCACAAACATGAGGCTCATGTCCTGTAAAATTATTTTCGTTGCTATTCCATAACTGAAGTTTTGGTGCTGTTATAAATGGTAGTGTAAACGTCTGTGTTTTCTGATGGCCTTAGGTGACCCTGTGAAAGAGTTGTTTGATTCCCAAAGGGGTTGTGACCCAGAGGTTGAGAACTGCTGCCCTAAATTATTTCTACAATCACATAAACAAGTTTCCATGTTACCATCCTTAATAAATAGGTTCTCTGTAATCTATTCCTCCCTTTAGCTGGTACCCATTTCCTGTATCCTTAAAAAAACAAAACAATTCAAACAAGCAAGAAACCCCAAAGCTCTTTAAGACATGTTTTCTGTTACCTACTGCCTTCCTGTCTACCTTCTCATGGTGTATCTGACCCAGGGGCTCACCCTTACTACAGACAATTGAATCATCTGGATAGGCCAGGAGAACCAGAGCTCCTCCTCAACACCAGAAACAGAGAACCTGGCACAGTGTCACTGGTACACTTCACAGAAAAGCACACCCTGACCCAGCTGGTAGGGCTCAGTGGGCAGAACAAAGAACCAGAAGACCTTCCACGGTTAATGTGGGGAAGCCGGGGGTTTGGGAAGAACAGTTGAAAAATGATAATGGCAATGAGCTGGAAGGTTCTGACTTACACAGTGTGTGGTGGTGATGATGACGGAACTGGAGATGAAGGACAGGCCATCATTCATGCTGACCTGCAGCGCAGCTTTCCTGCAATGACAAGAGAACCAGATGCACTTAGCCTTGTGTGCTGTGAACAACAGACTGAGAGCCAGACAGAGCGTGCTCACTTACTTCCCTGTGGGGCCTGATGTTCTTCCGTGGAGCAGTCTCAGGGCCACACACCTGTGGCATCCAAGAGGTACTGAGATGTGCCCACTTGATGTGTCAAGGCAGGACGTTAACTTTGTATTACAGGGACAAGCAGAGCTTGCCTTTATTTAACCTGTTATACCTCATGATAAGATAAAAAGACCTTTCTTTCTCTCCCTTTCTTTCTTCTTTCCTTCCTTCCTTCCTTCCTTCCTTCCTTCCTTTCTTTCTTTCTTTCTTTCTTTCTTTCTTTCTTTCTTTCTTTCTTTCTTTCTTCTGTTTTTTTTGTTTTGTTTTGTTTTGACAAGGTTTTTCTGTATAGCACTGGCTGTCCTGGAACTTGGCTCTGTAGACCAGGCTGGTCTTGAACTTATAAATCTGCCAGCTTCTGTCTCCTGAGTGCTGGCAGTAAAGGTATATGCCACTAAAGCCTGATAGGTAAAGCATGTATAAGAGTCATCCAAGTCAATAGGGATAAATTGGACAAACTGTAATATGTTATATTAATATGGGCTCAGTGGTCTGGTGGGGCAGTTTTGTGGCTCCCTGTCAGACTCCTGGAGGTGCAGCTGTGGACAGGATTATCTTCTCCTGGCTTCTATCTATTAGGTCTTACTGAGATAAGAAGTCACATCATGCTATACAACTGTGGGCTGTGTAGCAGGCCCCAGTGTCATAGGCTGACTGTAGACACTCAGTGAGAGGTCTCAGTGGGAACAAATGCTGAAGGGAGACTGGATGAAGAACTTTAGTGTTTTCCCTGGAGGCCAGGCATGGTTCTGGGGAGGCTCTCTTCTGTTCTATAATCATCTGGGCTTGCTATTGTAACTCAGGGTGCTGATTCTCCTGACATCTCCCCAGTTCTTATTTTGATGGCACCATGAGATGGTCCCTGGATGTGAGTTTGGGGAATGTAAGTGAACGACTGAGTCTCTGAGGAGGACGGAGGGTGGTGGCGATGGTCACGAACCAGCCACAGTGCTTACTTTGCCTTTCTGAGTCTCCTTGTTTTGAAGGAACAGATAACAGTCACTTTCCAGGACACGGATGATGACAGGGTGAGGTAATGCATGTAAGAACTTTCTAGAAATGTGGTTGGGACTGAGTCAGCCGACTCAGGCTTGAGCTCAGGCTCTTCCACTGGCTGCTGTGTGACCCCGAGCAAGTTACTCAAATCCTTTTAGCTAGCTTAAATGGGAGTCTTATTCATTGTGAACAACGGAGGATGAAGAGCGATGCAAACCATCTGGTGCCTGGTTTGCTATAGCTTTGGCACCATGGCCACTGGCAGAATCTAGAGAAAGGTCCACAATGAAAATGAGGAAATATATCACTGTCCCTCTATCCCCTGTCTCCTCCTCTCTGACTGTAGGACTCTGTGGCTGGTGAAAACTTACATGCCAACTTCATTTAAGATTGGTGCTGGGCACAGCAAGTAAGTATCTTCCACAGCAAAGGGCTTCTCATCTGTAAAAAGGAATTCACAAGGTTATGATTTCCAATTCCGTATCTTTGGAGATTGTCAACCAAGTCCAGAGGGACAGGATGAAAATAGAGAACCGTGTGAAGGAAAACCTCCTCTTGCCTTGGGTTATGGTTGGAATATGAAATGTCCCCCGAGAGTTTACTGTTGAAACCAAGTACCATGCTGTTGGAGGCGGGAGGTGGGGTGAAGAAATCACTGGGGGACCAGATACTGTTGCTCTTTTGGTAGTATTCTCTCTCTCTCTCTCTCTCTCTCTCTCTCTCTCTCTCTCTCTCCCTCTCTCTCTCTCTCTCTC